TAACTTGTACCTGCTGGGAGCTGTGTAATAGCCGTGCCTCCACATTAGACTATACGTTATAAACGTACTCTTAAGCAGTACGTATACTAAAGCCGTACTCTTAATAGTACAAGGAACTTATGTTTCCTAAATGGTTTTTAATGGTTTTATACCTTTTCCATTATACATATCAGATATTTGGACAAAGCCACCAAAAGGCCCCAGTAAAATACCAAACATAAGAGTTGGTCTAGTTCTATTAATAGAACTTTATTTACTTTCCAACTTTATGTATATCTGAATACTTCGGTAGCGAGATGGCTCAACCGAATATAGGTTTCTAGGGACTATCAACGTTACCTAGTTGATCCTCCGATCAGCCAACCAGATGTGCCAGTCTGATGAAGGCTAAGTCGGTAATACTTGATAAGTGGCAAGTTATTGGTTGAGACAATAACTAAGGACATCAAGAGTATTTTTCTTTTTTTCAGTTTATTTTTTATCTAAAGATAGGATTGTATGAGTATCTCAGATTCGCCCCAACGAAACACACCATAGTTTCTAATAGAGTGACAACGAAACACTAAATAAAATCCCTTCAACGGAAATAGTACTGAGAGGATTATATATAGGCAATGTCTCAGCCTCACAATCCCTCAGAGTATTGCTGTTTTCACGAGGCATATCTAACTTTACTAAAAGTCTCATTTCGTTTATTTACTTTGAAACTTTCACGATACTTAGAATTTACCTACGTGTTTATTTGTTCTAAGGCGTTGATATCGCCTTGAGAGACCAAATCTTACAATATCTCGACCCAGGGGAACCATGTCCACCACGTAGAACGTGTTTTCCTCTGTCAGGAAATAGCCCAGCGCCCCCGCTTCTTTAGAGAAAACTTGTAATAATACAGTAGTAACCACCCCTTCTAAAGGAGAAGCTTTAAGCGAGCCGTCATAGGCCTGGAGCACGTTTTGCTCCACCTCCACCGACACCAGGCCTTTGCGTTCCGCCACCAAACGAAGCATCATGGACGGGTAGGAACCAGAGTCACAGTAGACCTCGAGTTCACTATAGCCCACTAAGTATGGCACCGTGGGGCCCCTCGCACCGTCACTTCTGCTCTTTCTTACGCATGTTAGCAGTGGCAGCCGCCGCCCCGGCCGGAGCCACCCGCTGTGGGCAGTCAACCCAATAATGGTTCTTGCCACAGATGTGACAAGTGATATGTTTGGGAATTTCACTCCCACTCCGATAGCTGCGGTCAGAGGTAGCACCATTGTCGCCCACTCCAGAGCTGCTCCAAGACGGCGAACGGCTACGTCTCCCATCGAAGGTATGTACGCTTGGACGACGAGGCATCAGACACAGAACAGGACCTCTCAGGGTTCACCCTGTAAGAACGACCCGTCGGACCTGATCCTTCCAATACCTTGCCATACTCAGATCGGCATAGCTGCGACGGTTGGAGCGCCGACAAACATTCTTACCCAGGTAGCGCATCGCATGGAGGAAATTTAAAGCTGCAAACCCCTCGATGCTGGTAAAAATATTTATAAAGGCCATGCGCTCCTTGCCTTGCAGGCAAGTCGAAAAGAAACTCAGCACTCGGTACAGGCACTCCCAAGGCCCTCAAACACATCGATATCCGTCATCATTATATTCGTGACAGTGTTCGTCAAGGCATGATCAATTGATCTTCACAATATATCCATACATATTATTGCGCAGATTTACTCACCAGAAGCCTCGGGCGCCCTAAACATGTCAACTTTCGCGCGCGTTTGATGGGTAATCAGTCTACGAACCCTCAGCAAAATTTATCCCTAGAGTTCCTAGAATACGGCTTTGCATACTCTGCCGCTATCCTAGGATTGACCACTAACCAGGTTTTTTTTACCTAAAGGTTCATATAATGAACCATTTTTAATTTAAGTCAGCATGTCACAATTATCCCATGCTGACTCTACGTTTAGTTCTCCTGTTTACTATAACTCTAGTGCACAACAATTAATAAAGTCTTTAAAAATCGTTTGTATAATCCTTTTTGACAGGTTTCTATATCTATGCTTGAGTTTTATGACATAAAATTTGTAGCCTGCTACCATAGTACCAATAATGTACAGAGTACAGAGTACAGACTAGCAGTAAATAAATAAATATATAAAGGGAGTTTGAAGGGTCATGATTTTCTTTTTTTTTAAATTTTCTTTTCTTAGGGATAATATTATTTATTTCAAAAATGGCAAGTATGTATGATACAATGTATGAACATATGGTATGGCTCTCATAGTCGCTGTAGTGGTTCAGGAAAGATTGATGGGAAGAAGTGGTCAGTAAATTCCCGTTCGAAGCTTGGGCCAAGTGAGTCGACAATGGAAGGTATGTGCTGAGTCAATTCGGGCCGGTGTTGACAAAATACTGTTACTATCGAATGTTCCATATATTCGCTTGCTGACCTACTAAGTAGAGTACCCACCTCTGTGGTACGGATCGGGTCTGCGCCGTGTAGTGCCGCGGAATGGGTTAGTGCAGAGTACGAAATACCGAGAAGGACCAGGTTATCCGTCATAATCCGGTCGAGAAGCGAGGATGGGGGTAAGCCAATGCCGCACCAGACCACGCATGAATTCGGTATGTGTTGGCTGGCCTGGATCGGAAGTATCATAGTCGGAACCAATAAGCGCGATGATTTGGTTTGAACCGATATTTGGAATTAGTATTTCAACAGCGTGATTAGCCGGGGTATGGGGAACATCTGTTGATGTGTCAGGGACGGGTGAGAGTACGGTGGTTCTTCAACATGCTGGAGAAAAGATACAAGGTGTTCGTGGAGGGTCCAGATACCGTGGAAGTCGTGGCACTCAAAACGTCGGCTTTTCAAGCTGTCTATAAATATTCATTCGCTGCATATTTCTTCTAGCTTGCGGTGTACTAGCTTCTTCTGATACACGTTTCTTACATTGTTTGAACCCGTTTCCATCTCGACCCGAAGTGATTCGCGATAGTGACGAAACACAGTTGTGACAATGCTGCTGGAGATGGTGTGAACTGTGAACCATACGACACTCCGCTACTACTGCTACTTATTGTAACAGTGCGCGCGAAACCGAGGTGTGATTAAGGTCCCGCAGATTGGCGACGTTCATCTGGACAAGTGCGTGTGGGTGTACATTCCGTTATAGCATGTCGAAAGGTTGGCATGGCGCCTGTTTTCGATCGTACCTGTACATTTTGTTGTTCATACTGCTCTGCCGGAAAGTGTAAGCGGCAGACATAATAGCACAGGCGTGGTGTTAAATCATCTATTATCTTACATAGCTGTTTGATAATGTACTATTGCCCGCACTCATTCGTTTTGCTAATCAATTTATCTGATGGTATCTGATGTCCAACTTTACCTTTCACATTGTGCCCGCAGGTCTATTATCTAATACTGCAGATAGGCGTCGCCACAGACGCCAGATGAAAATCCTGAGACCACTGTGAGTCTCTGTGTGGTATCGCTCCGTGTGCTGGAAATACTTTCCAGTCTGTCTTAAAATACAAGATAAGAGCGATGGAAAAGTCTTACATTCACTGAAGCTAGATTCTTAAGCCTTTCCTACCATGCATACGTAATGCTCCTTCGAGCTCTATTGACCTAATGTCAGGCCGTCTAATGGGTTGCTAAGACGTCTGCCTCATACACATGCAATAAATTTTCAGGTTTGATTGCTTTAGGTAAGGACATGATGCAATCTTCCACACCATCTTTATTCACTTAAATGCAATGTTTAATTCCGCATATACATTAAGCCACGGATATTTTGTGTCAGGAGGCTCAACGCTCTTAGATGAGCTGCGTGAGCTCCGGGACAAAATTGTGACAGTGATGTATAAGCTAAAACATGAACAGTATCTATCTATGTATTTAGCTGTTTACACAAGTGGTATCTTTATGGGTGCTTCTATGTGCAACTTTTTAAAAATAGAATGCATATATTACTACCAGGTAGGCGCTATATTTGGTTGCATTGTGCTAGTTAGTTTTTAACTGTATATAAATAATCAAATATAAGTTGCTTTTCCAACAAATCGAAATTATTGTAAATCCACGTTGATGGCTCATATAGCCAGTTTCTGGTATGATTCATATGCTTAATTTAGAAGTTCTCCACTGCTACGATATATCTATGTAACTATCATCATTGCATGCAGACATAAAATTTACCCAAATTGAAATATTTAATATTCTCCCTATCATCACCACAACTGTCGGTCAACACTTCTTCTTCCTTTTCCTTTTCTGCATCCAACCGCACTTGATATTGTTTTCTCTGCTCTATATTTCCAACGTATCAACTCGTCCAATTGATTATCGTAGTTCAACTAGTTAAACAACAAAAAAAAGATATATTAGGCTGAGTTCGCCCGTCTACTCCAAACAAAAGGATACTTTCTTTATCATGTTGATGATAAATTCGCCAGGATCAACCGAAGCCGATATGGTTGTATGTTTACGTAGAATAGATGTAATCACATTGTTTAGTTGCTTTGTGGTGAGCTTGATACACGGCTTATTCAGGTCTAAATTGATACTAGTTTTGATAGGATTGAGTATACGACATTCTTCGGGACATGTGCGTGGTGTGGCTGAAGTACCACTTCCTGATTGTGATGAGTGGGGAGTGTTTTCGTCTGTTGACGTATTTGGGTTGAATTGCGGTGTTGCATCTGGTGTGAGACTAACCCGCCATGTTTCAGTACTACTGATCATAGAACGGCGAAATGATACATGTGTATGGTTTGTAGTTTACCGTCTGCTGCACGCGCGCGCAGGTGAAGTCAATTTTTGTCCTAGATTCAGCATCCTGTGCTGCTAGGATATTGATCCACTTTGCTGCCTTATCACCATCACTTGGCAGGAATACCCCATCGATACTCGATATGTCCACACCACAAACACCTTCACTATTAGTGCATACACGTTTTGTATGCTGTCCACCTACTTCTTCTCACACTGAGGGTATCGTATCTAATTGATAGTTCTTCTTCCTCTACAACTCATTTTGACGGTAATGGATTCAGAATGAACAACCATTTACGAGCTCTAATGGACCCAGCATCTTCCTTGCCCCGTTTTTTTCTTCGCCTTTTGGCAAGGAAGTCTTGCAGCTGTTCTCACTCAGGCAATCACGGACACCACACAAATATTTGGGTATTTTTTTGTGCGCTTCTTGGGAGGAGCGAACTCGCCATAACTTCTGATTGAGGCTCAAAGCAGCTAAAAGATGCCTATGATAAGCAACAAAAGTGTTTATTTTTATATTGTCAAAAAATAATATACCTGCTCATAGGGATAATATTATTTATTTCAAAAATGGCAAATATGTATGATAAAATGTATGAACATATGGTATGGCTCTCATAGTCGCTGTAGTGGTTCAGGAAAGATTGAAGTGCTCATAGTACTTTGCAAAAAAAAATAAAATTTGACGTCTTACAACATAAAATTCAGTACCTAAATCACTATTTTTTAATGAGCTTTGAGCTAGTTAGGATCAGAACAATCTTTTATGTAGATAGGGTTTTTGATGCCATAAATAATGAGTACAAATACTTTGTCAACATCAATAAATAATACTTTGTAGCTCTAATGGTGACAGTCCAACAATTTCTCAGGTCCGACACTCCCAACCAAACTACGCTGCATTTTTGACCGAACTGTCACCACTACTAGGACACGAAGGAACAAAACTTGGACACGAAGGAACAAACGCCCCATACAGCAGTTTTCAACTGCGCATGCAGTGAAAAGTGAGTCTAGTACGCACTTGGATGTCATGAACTTTCGATTTTCTTCTAACACAGCTTATTTACTCCTGACACGAAGTTCCTAGTTTTGAAAAGAAAAGAAAAAACTTCCTATGAAAGTCAAACAACTGCGACATGTTTTTCACAAGTACGAATATGGTACATAATGTAGTGCCTATATAAATGTGTGACAATACATAAATAGTGCCTATATATGTGTTTTAATATCGATTATGAATGTAAACATATTCAATGTACCACCACGAGTACTTACGTATTATACAATATGTACATATGCATTTTATCAATATTAATTTAATGTACAAGTTATATACAATGATTATGCGTATGTAATATGCATCTTATATCATAATAGCCAGGTATGCGTATTGTGTCAAATGATAGGAAATACATGTATACAATATGTATCTATATGAAAACAGCCCATATATTACTTTTTCGAACGACTTTTTTTTTTGAAATGTTAAAATAAAAACATGTACGACAACATTTTATCCCCCTACTACTCATGGACGTTTGTGTTCATATATACAGTTTTCGATAGTTCATGTACTAATATAGCTGTCGTTTTTTGCTTGGAACGATGGTGCACTCTTTTCAGTCTTTTCTACTTTCAGATGTTCAAAAGCAATACAGTCTATCTTAAATATCATGAGAAAGATACACACTCACAACAGATGGTTCGATAGTACATAAATATGTTTATAGTAGATATATACTACCTTATGATAATTACAGATAAATAAAAGTATGGTATCTGACACCTTTTATATGCAAGTGTTGCTATTTCGCTTTAATCAAAATGACAACAAAGAACCAAAATTTCAGTAACTAGTGCAGCGAGTTCAAATATATAATATACAATCGATTCCGAGTGAAAGTTCACGAACCCAGAAAGATCATGCGAAATACATTTCGTGATAAGTACTTTATATGATATGTACGATCATACAAACAAAGGTATACAGCAACGTGCTACAAAAGAGGGCGTTATGTATATGCGTCTCAATTGTTTACGATAGAAAGACGTATTTCTAAACACGTAAATAACGTTTTACGACATCAGTCCGAGAGTAATTTGGGACTTGTTCTCAAAGTAATTCAATTATAGGTGGGTCAGCCCAAGAGCACGTAAAAGTAATTCGAGACTTGTTCTCAAATTATTCCACCTGCCAGTCGAGAGTACGTAACAGAGAAGGTGATATATTTACTCCTAGAAGTATATCATAGTACTGAAGTGTTCTGGCAGCATAGGGTTTCTCATACTGATCATATTGTTTTTACCCTGGCCAGTGGTCAACCCAAGTGGTTGAACACTAGTACTAATATCATCAGTATAATTTAAGGGTGAGATCACAAATAAATTCTTTCAACGCACCGTTCTTTAGATACGCTTGTACTGTACTTATACTCATAGATCCCACCCTACACGCCAATATTGAGCTTTGTGAAGGGAAGTGAATTTGTTTGCATACTCATTTTATTTTGAGAAAAGCCAGTATCATTATGTCGAAACGAATGAGCACACTGATAACCAATGAAAGTGTGAGATCTAATATTGTAATACGGCTGGGCATGGCTAACACATACGATCGAGGTGATGTGAAGTCTACGAGTATAAGGGCTATAGAGAAGCGTCATATAAACCAATATAAGCAGAAACACTATACGATTCAATTTATATACATGATGAACAAATTTTAATCAATATACGAATCAATGGTTACAAACCGATGACAAATTCGAAAGCTCAAAATATATGGATCAACTATACAAATTATGTGCTATTGCAAGTATCATTCGCATCCTATACAGGCCTGTAACCCACGCAGAAAGGCGACCAAGACCTCAAACACAGTATGTAAGCCCCCAGGAAGACTGAAATATATCTGGTGCCCTTCTATGTGATGAAATCACATTCTAATTGAGATTTTCGGCGTGCTTGCACGTATCCCTTAGGTATTTGATTCCATAATAGACTCCGCTAGGCTATGCTTTACACGGCAAGTGTAATTTACTGTTTAATCGGTTGTGCTAGTGTCTATGGAATGCCCAAACAACAGAGTTCGCTCATTTGAGTATATATATCTTCACTGTAGGACATACACATGTGTCGGTGTAGGACATAAACGTATCTCAGTGTGGGACACGTACCTGCAACATTCTCAGGAAATGTACCTGTATATCTGTACCATTGTGGAATATATACCTGTATCATCGTAAAATATATACCTGTAACATCGTCGAATATATATCCGTAGCATCGTAAAATATATACCTGAAATATCGTAGAATATATACCTGGAATATCATATAATATACACCTAAAACAGGGCAGAATATATACCTCAAACAACGTAGAATGCATATCTGAAACATCGTAGAATATATATATCAGTAATATGGTAGAATATATACCAAAATCATTGTAGAATATATACCTGAAACATCCTAGAATATATACTAACAAAGATCGTCGAATTTATGCCTAGAACACCGTAGAATTTATACCTAGAACATCTTAGAATAGAATATAGTAGAATATATACATGAAACATCGCTGAACATAAACCTGAAACATCGTAGAATATAAAACTGAAACATCGTAGAATATATACCTAAAACATCGTAGAATATATACCTAAAACATCGGAGAATATATACTTGAAAAACATTGAAAAATCGTAGAATATATACCTAAAACATCGTAGAATATATACCTAAAACATCGGAGAATATATACTTGAAAAACATTGAAAAATCGTAGAATATATACCTAAAACATCGCCGAATATATACCTAAAACATCGCCGAATATATACCTAAAACATCGCCGAATATATACATGATACATTGAAGAATACATACCCAAAACATCGTAGAATGTATGCCTAAAACATCGCCGAATATATACCTAAAACATCGCCGAATATATACCTAAAACATCGCCGAATATATACATGATACATTGAAGAATACATACCCAAAACATCGTAGAATGTATGCCTAAAACATCGTAGAATATATACACGAAACATCTTAGAATATATATCTGAAACATCGTTGAATATATATCTGAAACATTAGAATATATACCTAAAACATCGTAAATTTTGTACCTGAATCATCGTAGAAATTGTTTTTCAAAAAAATTTATTGTGGGGTGTATGCCTAAATCTTCGTAGAATATATACTTTAGAACATCGTAGAATATACGTAAAACATCGTAGAAAGTGTACGTAAAACGTTTTAGAATATATACCTGATACATCGTAGACTACATATCTGCAACATCGTAGGGTACACACTTAGAACGTATATTATATTGCTGGAGGACATACCCGTTATCATTATATGATACAAACTTGTATTATTGTAGAACTAGTGGCGCTCCAGTAGTGTGTGTGTGCTACCACACCCTGTACTCACGGTGATATAAATGTATATAGTTTCAAGAATCAAAACAGAGACTTCATTGTACCGGATGACCGGCAAATCGTTTCCCTGTGTGCAAGCGATGTTATATTTTTATTACTCTATATTTTTACTATTTAAATAATATTTAGACAAACAAAATGCCCTTATGATACTAATCTCTTATAATCGAGCGGTGTTCCATATACATCGGAACTATAACTATAACTATAAAGCTTTTGCCTTGGGCGTGCGCCAGAAGGCGTTCTTGAGGCCGTCACTGATGTCCCTCAGACTGGGCGCCGGTTTAAACACTACACAGTTCATCCACAGCGTGAACCATATGGGCAGTACGGACTCGCTCATCGTACACAACACATGGTATAAAGTCGGGGCCACCACCATCACCTCACCCCTCAGAGCTGATAGTAGTAAGGAAACGTAGAGGTGTTAGTAGAAAGGAAGCATATCAATTGTGATGTTGAACGCTAACAGAGTCCACTACAGCAGCACATACGTCTGGCACACGCGGCATGTTAACGCTATCTGCGGACAAATGAACGCATTCGTATGTGACTGGGGTAGATGCGCGAAGCTGTAGCGTGCTATACGCAATAGTTTGATTGAGAGATAGGGAGACATCTCACATGTACGCGATTGAGAGGAAACTAGCCCAGTTTTGGTACTATCCAATTGCAGGGAAGTATACCTACCTACTGTTTGTAAACGTATATCATATCTACATACTGTTTGTAAACGTATATCATACCTACATACTGTTTGTAAAGCCATACCTGCTTTTACGGACGTCTCGGCCATATACTTTGATGTAGAGCATAGCTGCGGCACGAAGGTGAGCTGGTTATAACGATATATGTCATATGGGTGAGTTGGATATAACGATCTATGTCATAGGGGTGAGTGTGCTTGTACTGTTTCTTTTGTGGGGGCCTCCCATGTGATGAAATGAATAAATGTATCATCACAGTTTTAAACCCTAAACCCTAAAAAATATATTCAAGGCAGGTACCTACAGCCCTCAAAGTAGACACCAGGCTTCTACTCCGAGACCCCCCACGTGGTTCAACGGTAACACCACAGTAAGACAAGGCAAAGATAGACGAAAGAAAGAAAAAAAACAAAACAAGGCAACGATAAACGAAAGAAAAAAAAACAGCGGACACGCAGGAATCTCGCGGGTGCATAAACGGGCGTTACGTTGACCTGATTGCGACACCTCACAACTCCGACGGTCTATGGATGGACACTGAACCACTTTGATTGGACAACACAGTTGTACAAGCTAAGCCCCACCTCCGGTATCGTACACCCCACACCCGCGTGGGTCGACACAAACACGTTAATATTATTTTATACACAAATAGAATGTACCAGACTTTCTACTAATGCATACACATATCTATCTATACGCACAGTCTCCCCATAGGTTGAATCTTGGGATGCACCATACACTCACATATTGTACCGTGTCTTCCTAACGTTAACGCATTAAGATTGAGTACGATCACTTACCAGATTGTTAACGTATTAACATTGAGCAAGATCACCTACCGAGAACACAAGCGCGTCTTCGCAATTTGCGGCCTTCGTGAAATTGGTTATGGTCGCTCCTGGACATACGGTTGTCATGGTAACGCCGGTACCTACCAGTTCGTATGAGATGGACTGACCGAGCGAGTTCAAGTACGCCTGCGCATGTGGGCCAGGATAACTGATTGGTACAAGTGTGTAGCATACGTGCATGTTTCCATACTAGTCTACACCCTCGGTGCCCAAGAGATGGTCTTTAACGATGGCTTGTTCATTTGGCAAATCTTAAAAAAAAACAGGGTTCTGTTTATATTTACAGTACACTCGTGTAGAGTGGAGCCCAGAACTTGATGGCATCACGTGTGCAAGTGTGAGTGTGGCGTAACTAATGTCATCCATGCGTGTTGTAGATGTACTCGTTGTACATGCCTGTGCGTGTCTTACCTTAGTAGCTCCGTACACGGCCTCGTTAGGCGTGGGATTCATGCCACACACACTGGAGACGTTGCAGATGCGCCCGTAGCCTCGTGGCACCATGTACTGTGATAGGCAGTGAGTGGGGGCAGTGGTATAGAATGTACTGTGATAGGCAGTGAATAGAAGCAGTGGTTCAGTATGTACTGTGATCGGCAGTGAATGAGGGCAGTGAATGGGGGCAGTAGTTCAGTATGTACTGTGATAGGCAGTAAATAGGGGCAGTGGTTCAGTATGTTCTATGACAGGTAGTGAATCGGGGCAGT